AATTCATGTGCCATTTATGAGTTATGTTGGTTGCTTTACTTGCTTACTATAGAGTGACGTAATTTTAATTAATATATATGACGTAAAGGTTGGCTTAATAATCATTAAGATTTCCCCTCTAAGATAAACTAGACTATATACTTTTAATTTGGTTGCATTGTTTTAAGATGATAAACTCATATTATCTACAAGTATATTATATCACTGTAATTCGTATAGTTTTCATTTTCATGAACTAAAGAATTTATCAAAAAGAAAAAAATATTAACAAAATTAATGTATTTAGTTAAATTGTGCATGGTAAGTCTAATCACTTTTGTCTGTTACATATAAAATTCCACCATAACCGATAAATGAACCATGAACAATACGAAGTAACTGATAAATCTAGCTAGCTTCTTTCTAGCTTTTTGATAGAGTATATAAAACCTAATTTCGGACTTTATTTATAACTGATAAATGAGCCATGAATGATAATATATAAATCTAGCTTCTTTCTTTTTAATAGAGCATATAAATCTATTATTAGACTTAAAACATTAATTTAAACTTTTAGTTAAGTTGACCCTACCTTTAACACTTTAAAAAAAAGGTAGAGAACTAGAGACTATACAATAGATTTCAAATAGGATGAAAGATAGATCAATGTTGTGGCGGCTTTTTTTATAAGGTGGAGATTAACAAAATTATATTTCCTCTATTTTTTATTTACTTTTTATAAGGGGGAGACTAAGAGATGATTAGACTAGGTAAACGAATAAATTAAGCTATGAAATTTAAACCGTAGCAACGTATTATTCTTTTCTTCTTATTGTTGATAAAATTTTGTGAAGTAATTTATCAGTTTACCTAGTCTAATATCTCTGTTAAAATGTGTGTCAAAAGAGTGTGTTGCAAGTAAATAAAAACAAAGGAAGTATATATATTATGTGATGAACCATTATACAATCTCCTTAATTAGTGTCACTAGCTAGAAAGAAATAAGAACATAAAATACCAAAATAATCAGCAAATTAAGTAGTGTTAGTGTACAAAGAAATAAAGTAGGTATATGAGGCATCAAATTGGAATATTAAGTAAGATAGAATGATGATATCGTATAATAAGATACGAGTATATTGTACTCGTATATATGACCATATGTTACAGGTGTAGTTAAAATAAAAGGCCAAATAAGTTGAGTAATTGACTAACCCAAAGCTCACACGTACCAAAAATGGAAAATCAACAATAAAACGTGCCAAAAAAATTAAAAAATAATAGATAAATAAAAAACTATGGGCCGTAGGTTCTTTCCTTTGGCGACACGGTTTCAAGGAAAGAGAAGGCGAGTGGGGAGTCAATAGTCAGAGACAAACAAGTAGGAAATGGCAGTTTCGTAAATATGTTTATCTATCATGGGCTTTTTCGAGATATGAATCTGTCGGCTTAGAGACGTTGACCCCTCCTTCGCGGAAGCAACATCCAATATTCTCTCGTTTTCTTTCGCTATTTATTTTACTCGTACTACCGCTTAGAAATAAGAAAAAGAGAGGAATAATTCTTCAATGTCAATTTAAACGTATATCTTTGAAGTGTTTCTATTATCTAGAGTATTATTTTTAAGATAGATATAGAAAATGATCAGATTTATCTTATCTTTGAATTGTAATCTATCTTAAGAAAAACTAATTAATGCGTTGTATAAATGAGTTTGGTGATTGGACCGAATTAAAATGTTGAAACACATTATTTACCTTATTAAGTCATTCACGAGCAATTAAATCTTTCATAGACGCACAATTTATCATAAACCGTACTATGAGTACATAATGTTTGGAACACTTTTTGAAGTGATGGTAAAGCTATACATCTATTTACCTCAATGGCTTTTAAGTTTAAGAAAGATTGGTTTTTTGAAGGGGTTAACTAATTAACCTAAGATGGTAAATAGCCAGAAATAGCGGTTATTAGATGGAGAAGAATAATGTACACGAATGAAGGGATGATAATAGTGATGAAAACAAGAATAGTGATACAACTTTAGCAGACTTCCTATTGCTTTTGTGATCTGTGCATTTTTTATAAAGCTAACAGCATCTCGTGGTGGTCTCATGCAATGCTATATACACAAATACAACCATCATATCTGATCTCTCATCTAAATCTAATCTGACTACTTTATTATTAGTGCATGCACATTCAATTGTAAGATAATGTGTCTACGCGTAGTACATATTTTTATTAATTGGTCTTAATTTCATAACTCATCACAAGGGTAGCAGTGTAGTGTATCCTATGTATGTAAGTGTATGGCAATGATCAAGCTAAGTACGGTAAGGTATTCTGATAAAGTACTGCCTTCTTTTTTTTGTAAGATTTTTATATCAGACTTTAGAATTTTGAGTCCAAATCCATTTAAGTGAGGGTATTTGGGGTAAAAATTCTTTTTTTTTTTTTCTCCTCTGCTTACAAGTGCTAAAAAAAAGAAGATCAACGAAGGTAAATAATAAGTGAATAATAGTCATGTGAACTCTTGTTATATTCGTCTTATGTTATGCACAATTTTGGAGAGTTATGCCATATATCATTACATGTATAATGACACTCAAAATTGTATTTTCTTGTTTTAAAAATACAAATATATACTTTTATAAAATGCTACTCACTCCTTCAAAAAGGTGTTGCTTAACTTTTATAATATATATAGTGGTATCAACTATCAATTCTATATCCAAAATTGACTAAAATTGTAAAAAGGGAGAAAAAAAAATGGTTGGAGTAGAAGAATAATAGATAAATAATAATAACTTGTTTTTATATTAATAGAAATGATTGATTAAAAAAAAAAAAACCATTAGAGGCAAGCAACTTCGAGGTCCCATGCATGTTAATGCAGAGCATAAAGGGATGTGTTAGTTAAGTAGATAATGATCAATTACATTACTTCTTTAATAGTAAATAATTAGGAAAGTAGTAAGCAAAGTATGGTAGTTTGAATAATATAGTACGTACATATATAATCCTTCTAAACTTTATTAAAGTAATCCTACACTGATTTTTGAATAATTAAGTGGACGTGTGTGGAACATTCTTCTTTTTCTGCCGATTAAGATAGAATAAAGTCCGTAGATCTACATATTACAACCTGTACGTTCTTATCACTTCATTCTTTGATTCCACTACACCTTCTCATTTCATTTTCGTCAATTTGTCAAAAGTATAGTAAAAGGTAATCCTTCAATTTCAACATTATCATTATATATTTTTTTCTAATAATTGAACCATTAAACATAAGACCTTAAAGCCATGAGTACGTAAAATTAAATGGTGGAGTACTACAATAAACGAAGTAACACTACATTATTTTGTAAAAATTGTTTTAGACACGTAGTAATATAAGCCATTTTTGTAATTCTCATACTTTTAATTAAGAAATTTTCTTTTCCTATTCTATTAAGCAATTATATATCACATTGGCTCTAAAAAGTATTTGCTCTCTACAATTTGATTTTTACTATATTTATATGGTTACTTTGACTTTATTTTTTTACCAATATATAAAAAACATATGTAGTCATATAAAATATTTTTAGATTAGTCTTTATGTATATTTTCATAATATTAACCTTTTTATATTTGTTAATAATATATAATTATAAAATATTAATGATAAAAAATGTACATTGGTATGTGTGTCACTCAAAGTATTATGATTAAGATGAAACGAAAGGAGTATGTGACTCTGCTATTTAGTTCCATTTTTGTGTCTCATTTATATTTCCACACATTCCATATTAGCCTATTAGGCGATGTTATTTTTTTAAAAAGTGGTGGTATTCAAGATATGTATTTTCTAATCAGATTTGCTATGATAAAACACAAGTCTCGAATTGAATTAGTGCTACTCTAGTAGACTCCTGATAATATTATTAAAATTCTCAATCAAATTGTTCTTTATTTGAAGAGAAAGTGTGCGCATCATATTGTAAAATGTACTTTGTATAATATGTCACATCATCTACACAAATCTATAACATAAATACGTAGTAACGACTAAAAAGTATTAATCTCAACCCAAAATATTCGTTGGATTATTCCAAGTTTCCTACTCTTTGGATTTCCCGATTTTAACGAGTTATTAACTATTTGGCAAACACTAATAGGCCAACTAGCTCGTCCATTTCTACTTGGAGGCCCAATATATAGCAATGATGATCCAATATAAGGCCCATGAACGTGAATGGAGCTCAAATGTCCAAATGATCGGTCTTTCACTCTTTCCATTGACCCAGCTCTCATGCAACCAACGATTACATCATTTTGGTTTATTTTATACAAATACTTCTTTGAGTATGAATAAACGGAAAGAACATTGGATTTATGTAATTATTTTGATGAATTATGTGCTGCTAATTTTGGATTTTATCATATGGACCTATGGTATTACTACTATATTGTGTAGGCTTATGCAATTGAGCTTGATTTTGTGACAATATCAACTGAAAACACTAGATAAAGTATAGAAATGGCATGTTGCTCTAGATATTTCGTATGCCCTTCAATTTTGCGTCCGTATCTCTATCATAGACTCATAATTTATATACAATTTTGAAGGTTCTTCAAAAAATTATATGCCAATTATACATACTCTAATTTTAGTTATTTTACTCATTATTTTGAGATGTGTACCAATGTAATAAGGAATAAAGGAGTATGATACAATTTTTACTGCTTGTAATATAGATCACGCTTTACTATTTTGAGATGATCGCCAATTTAACAGCTGTATATACACCAAATTAATAACTACTCTATAACTTTGAATTCAAATTACGGTTATATATTTTGAATTGCTCGCCAAATCAACAACTAGATGCGCGCCAATTTAATAACCATGGAATGCAAGCTTGGGTAACACGGAGTACCAAATATGATTTACTATTTTTAGATGCAATCCAATTAACTAATTATAGATGCCCGCCAAATCAGCTAGTTGTACTATTGAATACAAAGTAATATAGAAGTAAAATTTTACTAAAAAGTATATTCTCACTATATTATATATATTCCTTGGTCTCAAGAGTCTCAACCATTACAGCATTTCAAGTTTTGACTCACCTAAATTTTGAAAATAATATAGAAATCTGCCCCTAATTAGCTGATAATATAAGATATAAACCCCCCAAAAAAAGCATATAAATTAATGATTTTCAAATAGAGAATACGAATCTACTCCGTATCCGACGGTAAATTCGCGGCGGCAACTTCAACAGCCGGAGGAGACTGTTCACTAACAGACAGATTCTCAAGACCAGGCTTCAATTCTTGATTGCAAAACTCTTCATATTCTCCTTTATCACCACCCTGTTTCTTAACCTCCACCACACACAAAGATGGGGTTAACTCGAATATCTCGGCTTGTAATGTCAATGGTCCTTTGGCACCTTCTTTAGACCCTTCCAAATTCACTCTACAATCCTTTTTCCTCACTGTGAAGCTCACCACCTTCGCAATCTCCTCCAATTTTGATATAATTGTCGACACCGGTGCTCCGGACACGAACCTTGAGCCTTCCCCATCATCATCATCGAAGAGTCCCGAGAGATCGAACCCTCGGGACATTGAGATGATATCGAAAGCGTTCAGGCTTGCCGGGCGAGGCAAGCCTGGAACAGGCTTTCGCGGTCGTTGTATTTCAGACCCAGACTCAGACTCGGACTCAGACAAACATTCTGTCTCATCAAAGTTGCTGCAAACATCATCATCCTCTTTGAAAGTACACATTTTGTTGTCTTCGAAGTAGAATTTGACATTCTGAAAACCCTTTTTGAACCATTTGTTTTCCATGACTTCAGGAATGGTGATTCGAGTGTCGGGATTGGTGTCAAGCAATCGACGCAACAACCTAGTCAATTCAGGCGAAAACCATCTCGGACACCGGAATTCACCCCTATAAATCTTGCGATACATTGACATAATGTTAGGATCATGAAAAGGTAAAAAACCAGCCATTAACACAAACAAAATCACCCCACATGACCAAATATCCACCTTCGCCGCATCGTACCCTTTTCGAGCGAGAAGCTCCGGCGCAACATACGCCGGAGTTCCGCAGAATGTATGGAATAAACCATCTTGCTGTATCTGATCAGATACAGCGCTAAGCCCGAAATCGGAGACTTTGAGGTCACCGTTTTCGTCGACTAAAAGATTCTCCGGCTTGAGATCCCGATGATAAACGCCTCTAGCATGACAGAACCCGACTGCGGAAATCAACTGTTGGAAGTACTTTCTAGCAACGTCTTCCTTCAATCTACCCTTGGACACCTTATTGAAGAGCTCACCACCACGAACATATTCCATGACAAAGAAGATTTTGGTTTTTGTTGCCATAACCTCGAAGAGTTTAACGATGTTGGGGTGGCGAACACGGCGGAGGATTGAAATCTCACGCTTGATGTGCGTCATTAGACCTCCTTTCATGATCTTTTCTTTGTCGAGAACTTTGATCGCCACGCATTCGGCGGTCTTGACGTTTTTCGCAACATAGACTTTGGCAAATGTGCCGTGGCCCAAGAGTTTTCCGACCTCGTACCGCCCCAGAAGAAGGTTTTCCCTCTCCTTCTTGTTGTTATTCGATGACGGCGAAGGGGCGACCGCAGCCATCGGAAATTAAATAAAAAAACCCTAAAAATAATAACAACCCAAATGAAATTGAGAATTGAGAATGGAATTTGAAATGATTTTGGGGGGGGGGGTGATTGAAGGAAGAACCCAGATAGACGACGTAAGAGGAGAGAGAAAGGGGTGATGAGTGTAATTTGGATGAATGGTTGTTTGTTGCTGGGAAAAAGGAGAAATGGGTATTTTTTTTTTTTTTTTAATTTTTTAATTAAGAGAGAGAGAAAGTGGTGGTGAAGGTAAGTCGGTGTGACTTAAAAAAGAGGGCATTACAGAAACAGCTGGGGACATCACAGGCCTTGTGATTATATCGTAACACTAGACTTTGTTTTTCAATTTTTGTGCGGCGTTATACTACTTTACGTCATAAGTAACCCTAGATATTTTCTATTTCCACAAATAGTAGAATTACAATAAAACGTTGTCGTCATCGTTGGGGGTTGCCGTGTTCTTAATGTTTTCTTAATAATTTTTGCCGGGAAAAAAAAATATAAATCGTTGGCCTATTATACACTTGTAAAGCGAAGAAAATGTTGATGGAATTGGTAATTGCAGATGTTTGGTAATTATTCAAAGGTTCTGTGAAAAGTGTACAGGTTCTTTTATCTTTTTCTCTCATTTTTGATTAATTGCTTGTTTGATTTCTAGCAATTAAGCGAGAATGTTGCTCCTTTTATGATTCAATTGATAGTATTTGTTTTAGGAAGTGGTTAAAGCCTGGAACTTTTGCCCATTTTAGCATGAAATCAGCTGTAAATTTGATTATTCTTGTAATCTGATAGGATAGTAGTGTGATTGTTGTTGCTTGGGTCAGATGCAAAACAAAGTAAGATTCCCAATTCTTGGCATTGTAAATGTGTAAGGAATTCTCTGATTGTTGTGATAAATGAACCATTTATCGATATCGAAATTCAGGGCTACTATTCTGGGAGATCCTGATTCCTGAATTCTTAATGACATTGATTAAGCCCTTGTTCCTATTGTTTAGCATTCTTTAAATGGGTTTATTGATTCTAAATTCGCTGTTTGCATGTTTGTTGATTAAAGAGATGAAGGTGAAACAGAAATGGTTCGTTCCCTACCAAATTGTTCTGTTTGTGCTTCAATTTTTCTGGTTGAGATCTCGAATTTGTTGTTGCATTTTTTTCTCAGATCATGTTATGTTTGCTAAAAATTTGATCATGGGAAACCAAATTGTGCAAAAGTGAACCTCTTATTTTGTTAATTTCTGGGCAATGTTTCTGGGGGAGTAATAAGTTGGAATTGTTACTAATGTCAATATGTCAGGCTACTTGGTTTGAGTTATTTATGTGAGGAAAGATATAATTTTTGTATGTGTTTGTTTAAAGGGAACATTTTAGAGACATATTTAAAGAGGTGTTGTTTTAACAGCAACAATTTTTGTTTGGCATTATGGATTCAAGTTAATTCTATTCATCCATAGCTTAAGATCTTAGGTATGGTTAGTGCCGTTCTGAATTATAATGATGTTTTATTCTCTATGCTGCTTTTATATGAGATATGATGTCAAAACTGTGATTCTAAGAACTGTATGCAATTTTACTTTTGCTGTCATGCATTCCTCTTTTACATTCTCCAAAGTACCCATCTCATAAATACTTTGAGTTTTGTTCTCGATTGTGAAATTTGATTATCACCCTTTTGATAAATTGTGTTGTTTTGGATTTTGGTGGATTTTATATCAGTCTAGCAAATAGAAAATCCTCACAAGGGAGTGAGCAACCATTAACTCATATGGACAAGTGGCTTGCTTGGAAATTCAAGGAAGCAAGATTTAGGCCTGTAGAAGCAGGGAGCAGTGTCAAAGTTAGAAGTTATTGCAACTTGATGCTACCCTAATGTCCGTAATGGCAGGATTCTACCAAAAAAAACCTACAGCACCAGGTAAAACTCTTTTTCTTAATATCATTTTAATGTTTTTATTTTGGTCAATATAATCTCTATGTCTTCTGGGTTAATGGTGCAAAAAATAAAGGATGGAGGGGAGTATTTTGCAGTGAAGTTTTAGTCTTTCGAGTCCTGATTTAGAATTTATCCTTTTTGTCTTCTACAGGCTTGTGCAAAAATGTGAAATAAGAGTACTTGTCCATCTTAGACTGAGTTTAAACTTTAAAGAGATATATAACTTAATATATAGGATTGATTCCATATTTTAGGCTTTTAGCAAGCTGTCTGCTACTTCCGTGTAAGAAGTTTGTCACAAGGTCACAGGACATGTTGTTTAACTTTCATTATCTTTTGTCTATCTAATATCCAGTGTGAGAAGACACATTAACACCATGGGTTTAGTTTGGCAAACCTAATGTATCAGGTTTGTAATGTTTTTTGCACCAACCTTCAATGGGTTTTCGATGTTTTCACAAAAATCAATTTTGTTTAGTTGAGTTGGGTGCTTTATGTTATTTTTTGGGTATGTTGGGTTCGAAGTGTTTTCTCATGTGTTTTCAAGATTTTAAGCCAAGTTTTCTTTGATCTGCATTTCGGATGGATCTATTTTTGACATCTATGTGTAAGCTATTTACATTCCACCCTTAGACTTCTCTTTTGGCAGAAGTGCTTGCTTTCGCTTACTGGCCTGTCAAAGTGCTTTATGACCTAAAACCACCACAGAAGGAGGAATCCTTCTTATTCGACGGGTAAGGGTGGTCGTGGCCATTGGAAGGAAATGATTTGTATTAGTTTACTCTATTCTAATACCTGGTATGCCAAATAAAATTGAGAATAATCTCAATTTCTGGCTGATTGGAAGAATTTATATAGACGGCGGTGGCTGAGGAGTGAGAAAGAAAGTTGAGAGTAATTGGATGGATGGTTGTTTGTTGCTGGGAAATAGGACTATAGGAGCGAGAGAGAGAGAGTAAGTCGGTGTGACTTTAAAAGGAGGGGACAACAGCGGGGACATCATAGACCCTATGACTATTGTGGTTAGTGCTTGTCAGTTTATGTACGGCGTTACAGTAACTCAACCCAAACAACCCTAGATGTTTTCTAAAACCAGAAATATGGTTTGGACAGAACAGAAGAGAAGAGGGAGGAATAGGAAGTGAATCAAGATCATCAATCTGGTTTTCTACAACCCAAATACATTTCCATGTCCCATAATCATTGCCCAAGTTCCCTCCTCGTCCTCCTCATAAGGAGGGTTTCCTAATGTTCTCAATATTTACATACCATTTCCAAAAAAAAAAAAAAAAAAAAAAAAAAAGGCAATCGTTGGCCTTATAAATAAATACTAGCAGAATGAAGAAAATGTTGAGAAAATGGCTAATTGAGGATTTATGGTGTTGACATATTCGGAATTCCCATACTCAGGAGTCATTTCTACCTTCTGTAAAAATGTGCGGGGTTCTTTCTGTTTGCTTGTTCAATCTCCAGTGATTAAGCTAGAATGTTGCACCTTTTGTGATCCAATTGTTACTATTTGTTCGTAGATTATGAGTGAATATAGGTTTTGAAAGCTATAGCAGCTTTGGTAAAAAAAAAAAACTGGAAATTTTGCCCATTTTATTACGAAATGAACTCTTATTTTGCCTTTCAATCCCCTTTTTTTGGTGGTTAGATAATGTTATTGCTGTTGCCTAAATCAGATACCAAACAAATAAGATTCCTAATACTTGGCACTGTAAATCTGCAAGGGTTTCTCTGAGTATTGTGGTCATGAAATGTTTTATCGTTGTCCAGATATTGATTGCCATTTTGGAATATCCTGGATTCTTAATGCCATTGATTAACTCTTGTTCCTATTGATTAGCATTCTTTAAATGGATTGATCGATTCTAAAAATGCTGCTTGCATGTTTCGTTTGGGACTAAGGCTTTGTTGTTGTTTTTGATTAATATAACTAGCAATGTAAGATGAAGGTGAAACTGAAAGAAGGTTTTCTAGCTATTTGCTCTGTTTGTGCCTCAGTTTTTATGATAAAAAATGCAAATTTGTTGCATTATTTGCATTTTCTTTCATCTGATCATGTTATTGTGTATGCTTTAAACTATTATTATGAGAAATTTAATTGTGCTAAAGTGAACCTATGTGTTCTATTTTGGGGGTAGGTACTGGAGTAATAAGCTGATATTGGTTGTAATGAGTAATGTCAATATGACAGATTGACAGGCTAATTGGTACGAAGTAGGGTTAATTTTGTGAGAATAATATGCTTTTTGTACGTGTGTGTGTTTAGAGGGGATAATTTAGTGACATAATTGAAGAGAAATTATTAAAAACAACAACAGTATTTGTTTGCCACAACGATTCAGTTTAATTCTATAATTCTGTTCATCGATTGCTTAAGTTTGTGCCATTCTGAATTTTAATGACATTTAATACTCTCCATGCTGCTATTTTATCCGTAGTATATGATATGAAATCAAAATTCTGATTTTAAGAACTGTATGTATTTTTACTCTTGCTGTCTTGCATTCCTCTTTTATCCCATCTAAAGTAACCCTATGAGTGATGAGTTACTAATTGCTTATTCCTTCTATGTATTTTACCTATACACAATTTGCTTTGCATCATGTGGTTTAATACTTTAAAGTTATGCCAATCTATATTTGCTGACGTTCATGTTTTGATCACACAACTTAATCTATCATGCATCTGATCCTACTTCGTTTATGGTCTCAAGTAGTGAAATTGGGATGCTTGAATCTGCTTTTGTGATTGGGCTCTGCAGCATAGTGTGTATAAGAATGAGGGAGAGAGGGGGAAGGAAGAAAGAGTGAGAAAAAAGGAGAGGGGTTAGAGGGGGTGACAGGATGGAGGGAGAGGGGTTTCTATAACCCTGTAAAAAGTTGGAGATGATATATTGTTAGGAATTCGCAAATTTTATTAATCTATTTCCAAGAAAATTTAGTAGATTGGTGGGATTCATTTTAGTTTGTTTTGTGTTGTTGAAAATAGGGAGCTATTGTAACTAGAAGCTGGGAGCACTGGAGTAGTGTCAAATTTAGGAGTTATTGCAACTGATGCTACCCTAATGGCAGGAATCTACCCAGGAAAACTACTGGACCAGGTAAAAGTCTTTTTCTGTATGTCACTGTATTGATTTTGTTTTGTGCAAATGTAACAAGGGAAAAATCTGCAAAAGATACACGAGGAATTTAGATGATATGAGAGTACCTACTAGTTGCGTTCTTGGTTTGTAGAAAAGTAGGGTTTTTGTGATTTGATTTGTGTTTTAAGAGTGCAATTAAA